CCCCACCCTTTCCAGTTGCTTCCTGCTCCATGTATCCCTCTCAGTCCGGGCTGGCCCTGACAGGCAGGGTTGAAACCCGCCTCCTAAATGATCTAAATTGTGTGGATGGGGGGCGTAAAACTATACTTAAAAAATAAAAAACAAACAAAACCCAACTGCACCTCATGATTGATTTCTCAATAGCCCCATTTTTTGTGGGTGGTTGGCGGGTGCTGTGGTGTGGTTTGCTTCTTCTTTCCCATCAAACATTCAACATCCTTATCTTCATTTTTAAAATGTTTGTTACTCTCTTGTAACACCTCTAATCTTCTGGCGCTCATATGACCTTATGCGGTTTCGAGCGCCGTAAGACCTCTACTAAAACTAAAACTAAAACTAAAATAGTTTTTTTCTTTCTTTCTTTTCTTCCTCCCAGGATTTCCTGCGTCCGTTTGTGACGTACCACAGGTTCGTGTCCTTCTCCCTGTACACGGCGGGGCTGGTGGGCTTTGTGTGCAGTCTGGTGAAGAAACACTACCTCAAGCAGTTCACCCTGGTGAGTTGGCTGGCGCGCCGCGCTGGCAAGTTTTCCTGAGTCAGGTCGTGCGTGATTTATCATTAATTAACCCTATCTGTATGTCGTGTTTTACTATCGTATCCATACGACCTGGGGAACTCTGTGCCTCAACTTTCCAAAGAGGAAATTTACTCGTTAATCCGATCTGTACGCTTTCTATAGCAGTCTGTCAAAATGATTTTTTTAGAAATACTGAAAGTTTAAAAGAGATCTTTGCACTAGAAGTATTCTAAACTGTGAAGAATACAACCCGGGGGTACACAATGACCCCTGGGCGTATGGATAGGGTTAATGATATGAAAGTAAAAACTTTTTTTTGTTGCCATGGTTGGTTTTTGTTATTGTAATAGGGGTTCTGAAGGCCACGATTTTTATCCTCAAAGCATTTTGTGATAAGATTTTGATGAAAACCCTTTTTAGTCGAGGAAGGAGTGGTTTGCAGGTCTGATATAATATAGCAGTTTTCACTGAGTTATAGAAAACAGGTGAGAATAGAAAAAAGATTGTTAAAATATGTCTGTCAGGGCCAAATAGGTAAAAAAAAAGTCTAAGGAGTGATTGGTTCAAGAGACGCTGTCAAATTTTCACAGTAAGGTGCTTCTTATTAATTTAAGAGTTGGGGGTGGG